TTAAACAGCATAGCCATCTAGCCAGATGTAACATGACTTGTAGGTTTGTCTCTTCTCACAGAATATGTAAATAGACTCTCAGTGTGCAGTGAGTAGCAGAACACCAGCCGCCCCACAACAGGAAACGAAAGGGTATCTGATTAAGCTGACTTGAAAGTGTCAAGTAGCTTGGCAAATATCCCCTTACATTTCACTCATTCATAGCTATAGCATGAATGCTTGTAAACTATGTGGTGCCACTTCTCTTGCCTGAAGCCATTTTATTTTTCAATGGGGCTCACAGTTACTGATACATTTGCGATAGTGGTAGTTGCTCAGAATGAATATGGAATAATAGTTTTATTTAAATTTTTAATGTAAGTATATTTCTATGTAAACAGAGATTGTATGAGGTTCTATTTCTGTTTTCTTCAGGATCTGACTGTGGGGTTGGCTGTTTCTATATTGTAAGAACACAGAGGGTTCGATCCAAAAAGGAATAAGTGGCACTCTTGAGTGTAGCCGGGTGGTTTCATGATGCCTCTTTTCCCCTACTGGGGTTTTGCAGCCAAACAGGGAAACTGGAGAAAGTCAGCAGGTTCTATCTTAGACATACAGGAGTGATATTCTGCTCTGGATATAAACCACAGTCTTGCGATAGCTTGAAAACTAGAAGATAACTGTAGCAAAAATATTTCCTGGAGTGACATCCACTGAAGTATACACCATGATAAACATATTATGGTTTTGTACTACCCTCTAGAATTCCCTGAACCGCCTTTCCTGACGGTTTACTTCTTTAAAAAAAAATGGGTGGGTGGGAAACAAAGCCTCAGAATGAGATTTGATGTAAAATGTTCTTGGTTTTTAGTCCTATAATGTGATAGAACTACTGTAGTGTGGTTCAGCCAGAGCAATTTCTTCACCTAAAACTTCAAAATTCCCCCAACCTGTGTGATCAAGCTTTGGTTTCAGCAAGAGTGACGATATGAAACTATTTCAACAGTCCAGCCCTATATATTTGTATTCAAGAGAATCCCAGCCTTGGGTCTCCAGGTATTCTTGGACTACAAATCCGAGACATCTTGGCCAGCACAGCTAGTGATAAAGGCTTCTGGGAGTCTTAGTCCAAGAACACCTAGGTGACCCAAAGTTGGGTATCGCTGTCTTAGAGAGTTTGGTGGGGTTGTCTTTAAAAGTAATAACCAAATGAAATGCACTACAAGTCCTGATTGTCAAAAGAATCATGTTTTACAGAAAAATATGCATTACTTGAAATGCATTTACAAACTTTGGGCAACTTCCACTTTGAGATCAGTGGGTTATATCCATGTTTGGGCATCTGAAGTGAGACTGATGATGGTCTAAACACTCTAAAGTCTTCCAGAGTCTAAAAATGCTACCCAGAGGGAAGGGATTCTACTATATAGAGTAAGGTAGGGTTTGAGTGGCTGGGGCAGAAAAACAGTAATTCCCCTACCCCCAAATTACTCTGAACCAAGCTGTGCTGAGTAAAAGTGGACAGAGCACCTTACAGATAGAAGCACACTGGGCCTTCATAAATTGTTCCCGCATCTCTGAGATCTCCTTTAAAACTATGTGAAATTTCCACTTGGGTTTTGTTTTGTTTGTTAATGCAGACTTTTTTTAAAAAAAATGTGAATGTTCCATAAATTCTGAATTTATTAAAGGAAAAAGAACTTTTGATTTTGAAGCTGGGTGAAAAGGTCGTAGTGAGAGAGCCTCCCATCAAGGCGGAGGGTATTCAACTATTGTTTTGTTCTGTGTTTTTTTGGTCATGCTAAATCGGGGTTACTACCTTTCTTTTTCCTGTTAGATTTCTCATCTTTAACAACTACTTGACAAACAGAGGCAGAGCATGATCCCCTGGAGACTGGGGAGTGTTCACTTTAACCTGTGTAAAGGGTTGAGCTTTTATTGTGATTCATTTTTTATGAGAACTTTGCAGAATGCCCACATTACTTTGACAGGGAAAATAATATTTTAAAAATGTGAATGTGGAAGAAAGCAAAACTGATAGATCTCATTGAGATGTATACTTCCTTTAGTCTCCTTTCATGTTTCATCCCCCTTCACGTGCAGATAAAAAAAACAGAGAGATACCAAATGAATATAAAAGCCACATCAAACCTGTAGCTTAGCAGACATATCTGGGACGTGGAAGAAACAAAAGTAGCTGGTAGTTCTCATCCATAGGCTTCCTCTGGAATAGAAAAAGTCTAAGGATGGGCCTTTGTGTTTCTACGAAAGAGGTGGGGGGGCTGGAAGAGGCTTCTTTTTTATTTTTATGTTCTTTCATTGATTCCTGAAACGGACCAATAGTGCTAATTATGCATACTGTATTAACAAAACAGGAGTACGTGGATGTTTTGTGTTCTTTCTTGTTTTCCCACTTTCATTTAACCTTTGTATGTCCAATCACCTGGTAATTTTTTTCATCCAATAGTGCTGTGAGACCTATTGCAAAGGCATTGTAGTGTGACCAATGAGGGCTACCAACAGCCAATCACATGTTCTAGGGGGAGGAAAATTTGGAATCTGTAGAAAATTGTGGAATCTAGTGAGGAATGCCCCTTTTGCTTCACAGTCCTTCCTCTGGGGGATATTACTGTGGGCTGCTGAACTGCTGGTGACCTCCATCTTGGATGGCTTTGCTGTCTGCCTACCTGTACCCCCAGCTTCAATCCTCTTCTCTTTTTTTGCCTTTTACTTGATTTTTTGGGGGTGTGTGTATGTTTATCTCAATTTCTTTGGATAATTATTGGTGCTTCCAGGCAGCCTGCTTGTGTCAGCATGCCTCTGTGGGATTATTTTTTAGATTTTTTTTCCCTTTGGGGATGTTTTCCCTCTTGGTTCCTACCTTCCCTTTCTTTAATTATTTTTGCTACCTGCAAAAAGACTCAAAGATGAGAATACAAAAGGAAGCATCAAATGATATGGGGAAGAGAAATCTCATAGTGGTTTTGGCTGAGGGTGTTGATCATAGTTTTTGCTTTTATTTGCTTGCTTGCTTGCTTGTTTGCTTTTCTTAAAAACAAAAAGAGGGATGTATTTTCCCTTTTTTTCTTGTGTGTGCTTTTCCTATTTAATGGGTTTTTGCTATTTGCTTAATCTACTGCATACTTACTTTGTTGATGATGTGTATTTTGATGGGGACATTGTGGCACTGTTTTGTTTACTTCCATGACAGTTTGTGGGCCAAGAAGGTGGACTTTGTAACTGTGTCAGTAGGATACTGGACTGTGTGAATGTGATAATGCAAACTAGTGCCTGCGTAGGTCTGGTGATGATTTTTCCTTCTTGTGCACTATTGTATGCTTTAGGGGTAGATTTGTTCTGGGTTGCTTTCCTCTCTATTTTTTTGGAGTAGTTTTTAAGGGTTCTGTAGAGCTTAATTTGGAATAATGCCAGGAAACACAAATGTGGGAAATCTGAAATGAAATAACCAGAAAGAGGTTGTCCTTTTTGTGTTAAATGAGAGGACAAGCACACTAAAAATAGAAAGATAGGGGTGAAAGCTAAAGAGACAGCTCCCCACCTCCAAAAAACAAAAACAAAAACAAAATGGAAGAAATCTGAATTGTTTTGCTAGACATATTCCTTTAAAAGACCCATTTTACAAGCAATCCCCAATTTTTATTTCATTGTGATGACTCCATTGAATTAGAGTCAAAATGACAATGACAGATAGAATAAGAAGAAGAAATGGCCCTAAATGATAAATGTTAAAATATGGAGACCTATCATGGATTGGTAAAGAAGAATATATATTTCCACAGACATTAAGCTTTTTTTAATCTAAATAGGTTGGAGGGTTTGTTAGTCTTATTGCTGCTATATTAGCAAACACAACTGATGTCACCTGTGTTCTTCCCCCAAAATCAGTTTTTTTTCATGAATTATTTTCTCCGTTAGCCTCTGTACTCACTTTGACCAGTGCTTGTTTGCACTCCTGTGAAAATGAAGCTCTCTCTTTAAATGCTTAGCAATATCAATTTCACAATTACATTTATATTATAAAGT